TTAAAGATATCCCATACTGTCTGGCATATACCATATTGGAAGCGTATGCTTCATGCTTCTTTGATTGGCAAGCTAACAACTAATAAATGTTCTATTTCACTTATATCTTGACATCTGATCTATTATGGAATATACCGTAAATTAATTATAATGTACTATGTAGTTTCTTGCTTTGCAAAACAGCATAAATCCCAACTGTTCCTGGCAACAGTAATTTTATTTAATTAAGTTATAAATTACCTGCTAATTTAAACACTGTGATATTGTCTTGTAGAAAAAAAAGTTTAACACTTGGTTTACTGCTGATTTATAGGAGAAAATCTTGCAAGGAATCTGCAAGAATCGATAGCATGCCATCTGAAAGATTGGGTTTTTTCATAATGTAGGCTTATACAATATTATTAGTACTGTTCTTGTTGATGCTGCTGCTTTCATTTTTGTTGTTTATTTTTGACATAGTTTGTCATCCTCCCATGTTGGGTGAAACAAAATCTCTCCATAATAAGTGGTAAATTTGTAGCAAATATATTGGTAGGTATTTGGATGTGAGAAAAGCAGATAATTGGCTTTTGGGGGTGGGTGGGTTATAATTATTTTACCTTTGAACCCCTTACATTCTTTAATTTTGCTCATAGAATGACATTGAAAAACATTTTTAAAAAAATTAAGTAAATTGCAGTTAGGTAAGTTTCCTTGAGGTAAATCTTTGGCCATTTTAGAATTTCAGTTTTAGTATAATCAGTAAACAGTATCTACAAATAAATATTTTAGGTATGTCTAGCTTACTTGTCTTGTTTGTGCATACTGTTTCTCACTGCTTATCAGTAGTTTCTCTGGGATGAAGACTCTCTCTGGGCTGATAGATTACTTAATTTTTGCTAGATTTAAGATTTTGATTAACAATTAAAGAATAATCTTAGCATTTTATGTTTGATAACTCATCAATAAATGAAAAAATAAACCAAAGGAATATTAAGGATAATTCAAAGAATGTGATGCCGGAGGACCAAGATAGTGAATACTATTTGTTTATTTGTTAGAGTTCTATCCTACCTTTTCTCTAGCCTTCAAGATGAAATATATTGTATTCCCTACCACCTTATCTCTATTGTTCTCTCATGCTGCTTCAATATATTTCTTTCCTCTTTGCAGATATGCTGTCACTCATTGTTGCTTAGCCACTGCCAATTTGCTCAGGAATGGTATAAACTTCACTTTGAAGGTTGATACATTGTTGGCAACTGCCTAGGCAATGTGGCACCATAGACTCTTCTCAGTTTGTTGCTGATATATTTCTATCAGAGAACACTTTGAGATTGAACAATGTAGAATGAGTCCCAGGAGAAAAGCAATATAGTTTCAGTCCTGGAACAGTGTGGCATCTTTTAAGGAAGTGACAGCAAGTGGAACCTTGAATTTATTTTAATATTTGATTTTCTTTCTTATACTTATGATCTTTTATATTCCTTCCACTACATTTTTTTCTCATTTTTTTCCTTTTGTGTTATATTGTGTTGAGGACAACACAATACAGGGTGGTAAGAAGGGCTTAGTTCTGTATTTTTATTGCATCTACAAATGGCTGCAGATCAGAAAATTATCTGGTTCTGTTGAGGAAAACTGGGTCAGAAAATTAACTGCTGGAGGATACCATTCTAATAGCTCAGAGATGGACACCAGCTAGGCAGTTCCAGCTGAGATGACAGTGCATAGTTTTCTAAAATCCATTTAAATCTTTAGGTCATGAGGAAGTAGACTGGATTCTCTGTGCTGTTAGCTTGTGGATAGAATCCTTGTCTAACTTGTCTAGTAAAAACTGCTAGGGAGGTGATGGAAGGCTGATTTGGTAGCATTGACTATATCTTTGAATAAGAAGTGTTTGCTCCCACCTTAATAAAAAAAAAAAAATCAGTGATATGTCTCCTCTTCAAAAGGTCATCTACCAATTTAGCTACTTGGTACAATTATCAAAGAGTCTGTAATTTTCTTTTTATAGGGAAGGTATTTGAAGAAAAATAATGGGATGTAGTTATAGAGATTACTCAATGAAATTAATTATCTGATCCTTATGAATCAGAATTCTGTCCTGACTATTGGAAATGACATTGGGTTTTTTTATAGATTATTTTTGTTGGGCATGGGATTAGAAAAATATGACCTTTGTGGTAGTGCTGGATCTTTTGGTGGCTTTCAATACATGATATCAACTGTGACTATTGGGAATAAGGAGCCTTAGTGAGACCACACTTGGAATACTGCATCCAGTTTTGGTCACCACAATATAAAAAAAGATGTTGAGATTCTGAAAAGAGTGCACAGAAGAGCGACGAAGAGGGGACTGGAGATTAAAACAAATGAAGAATAGTTGCAGGAATTGTGTATGTCTAGACTATTGGAAAGAAGGACTATGGGAGACATGATACCAGTGTTTCAATATCTCAGGGGTTGCCACAAAGAAGAGGGAGTCAAACTATTCTCCAAAGCACCTGAGGGTAGTACAAGAAGCAATGGGTGGAAACTAATCAAGGAGAGAAGGAACCTAGAATTAAGGAGAAATTTCCCAGCAGTGACAATTAACCAGTGGAATGGCATGCCTTCAGAAGTTATGGGTACTCCATCACTGGAGGCTTTTAAGAAGAGACTGGCCAGCCATTTGTCTGAAATGGTATTGGGTCTCCTGCTCATACAGAGGTTGGACTAGAAGACCTCCAAGGTCCCTTCCAACTCTGTTATTCTATGTTGTTCTATTCTATGTGTGGTGACTTACCTCTTCTCACCTGATATCTGCACTTGCTGTACATCAGGCTGTTTGAAATTTCATTTTTTTTTCCATCATGCAGTGGCAATTAGGTATTTACCTGAACATACAAAGATTTGTCCATGTAGCACTGCTACTAAAATAAAGAAGCTGCCTTATAGCTTCTGGCTGCAGGTCAGTATGCTAGTTATTACTTTAAACCCTAAAAGGGCTAGGATTTGGATATCTCAAAATTGCCTTGTCTGCACTGAATCTGTTCATCTGATGAATCCTGCAGAGCAATATAAGAAAATATCATTTACAACAACCCATTATTTAGCTTTTCTGCTGTTAGCAAAGCTTTTAAGGAATAACTTCTTCCTAACCCTCTTTGGCATCCAAAGAGCCATGAAGTCATGGTTCATCATGACAACCTTCAGCTACTAAGCTGATGTAATGTTGCAGCGATTTCTGTTTTGGTGTTGTTTATTTTTAATCCTATGCTATTGATTCATATAAATCAATACTCAGAAAATAAGCTACTCTTATTTTTATACACAGCCACAGGGACAGCAGTCTAAATATAAGTCATGCACATTTTTGATACAAACCTGGGCCTATTATTCATAATTTTAAAAATCTTCATTTCCTGTATGTATACATAACTCCATTTCATAACAGCAGACCACTGTATCCTATTTATTTATTTATTATTTAAATTTATATACCGCCCTTCTCCCAAAGGACTCAGGGCGGTATACAGCCAGAATAAGAACACACAAATAGAAAATTTAATAACAATTTAAAATATATATTAAACAATATGGCCCATAACTAATTAAAAACCCATTTTTAAACCTCAAGAATTAAAGAATTAAATTAAAGAATTTTTAAAGAATTAAAAATTAAAGATTCAAAGTTAAAAGTTAAATGTATGTTCAGATCAATTGTATCCTTTTCTTTCTCTCAGTTTATTGACAAATAACATTTCTCTTTCTCCTTCATTTATTCATTTGTGGCCTTTGTCAGTTATTTCTATTACATTCTACATTGCAGTGTTCCATATCCCATTACAGCCACTAGGTGAATTCCATGATACCCCTCGTGGAGGTAGGAATAGAGACTTTCACATAATAAAGCAAAAAACAAACAAACAAACAAACAAACAAAAACCATATAAATTAGTTACTAACCTTCCCCAATCTGTCACCTGCATAATTTTGCCAAGAACAGTATCAGTTTGGGCACATTTTATATATGTGCTTACATTCAAAAATTAAAAAAAAAACCAGTTTTATCCCATGCCAACATACTGATGCTTGCAAAGAGATAAGTGCAGTATACTGAGACAAACTGCAATAGCTCATCAAAATACACTTCTCTCTTTATTTGAACGTTTTCCAGGTATCTAATGAGATGGCTGGAACTGCTGCCTAGTCAATTTTGAGTCTATTTGTAATAAATTTCAAAGCACATGTTTTTCCCCTTTTCCTGGTGGTCTAACATTTTCTAGTAACTAAACACTGCAAGCCAAATCTAATTTCCACAGAGGAAATTACTGAAGAATTGAAGCATATCAGTTTTGCTGGTTGCATCCTGCAAAGTTTCAAAGTCCATCTGTGCTCCTGCCATGGCATGATTCAAATCTCATCCTCTTCAAATCCAGGAACAAAGTTGTTTAGTTGACTAATGCTTATCTTCTGATCTTTGCTTCTAGAAAAAAAAAAGTCAGTACATCTGTCAGATATAACATCAGTTTTCATCTTCATCTCTTGAGCAATGAGCGAGTTTTCTGATGATCTGCATGGTTGCCAATTTCTTGATGCTCTACAGATTTCCTGCGTACTTAAAATCACTTCAAAATCCATGCACAAGTGGAAAACACTAAACCTGAAAAGCCTGGTGGTTTTAGCATTGCAAATTGTGTTGTGGACTAAGCCAAAAGTAGATTGTCTGATTGGAAAAAAAATCTACCATTTGTAACAAGATTCATGTAATTTGGTACATGTTTAATTCAAAAGGAAAAGGACATGTAATAGTTTAAAAATTGATATCAATGACAAAAAAATGAATCAGGGTCATTTTTTAGTTTCTAGTTGCTAAATATTTTAGGTTGTTATTTATTTATTGTCAGCATGTAACATAATGTCAGTCTTCTTTCATCTTGTCATTGTAAATGATTATAATGTTTCTCATTATTCATTTGTGCCATACACATCATGAAGGAGTTTTAAAAATGTATTCTTGTATTTCTGCATTATAGAAGTCTTCCTGAAGATCAGGATACTATACAATTGATATGCATGACAATGGCTACAACTCCCAATGTATGCATCACTCTTACTGTATGTATTGCACAGGAATTTAACTACACTGGAATATTAAAATCACTAAGTACAATTCTATGATACCATTGATTCTTTGTTATACACAGGTTTTGAAATGTATTTTACTTATTTAATTTATATGCCACCCATCTCACAATCCCAGGCTGCTAGAAAAATAAATATTGGTGGTTATAGAAATATAACTCCTAATACAAATTTGCATGCCATTTAATTGCAAAGTTCAGCCATTACATTTTAACAATACTGCTAATGGCTGTGGACATTCCAAAATGTTTTTTAAAACAGATACTCCAAAATTAACCCATGTTAAAGTGTACAAAGTAATGTTTTGGACAACATCTTTATTTAGTTTAAACTATCAATGGGCTGTAGAAAGTTCAATTCATATTAAGAGAACACAGATGAGTTATTGAAAAAACAATTGACTAGAATACCAATAATAGAGGAACAAATTACATATAGTACGTATAGTAGGCATTTAAGATTTAAAGATTTTTGCACTTTTGTAAATGATAGCAACAGTATATATGTTGCGCTTGTTGGTTTGAATGTATGTGTTATATATTCAATATAAAATACTGTACATGTGAATATAAATTCATACTTAATATTAAACAGGTTTTTTTTAAAAATATTTTTAATTACATTGTTATTTTTTAAACTGTTCCATTGCAGCAAAACAATGAAAACACAAATAACACAGCAAGGCCATCGTTCCTAATCTAGAGCAATACAAATTAAAAGCCAATTAACAGACAATTCCAAAATTTGGGAAAATAGAAAGGTCTTCACCTAGTGTTTCAATTATGCTAATGTCAATTGAGCCTTTTTGGAAAAAGAATTCTATAAACGTGTGTCTGTGGTGGGGTGGAGGGGACATAGCAAAATCTCTCCCTCTTTCAGAGACCCCAGCTCACCAGCTTTGGTGGGGACCATTATGAATTAAATTTTGATATTTGCAGTATTTTGAATCTTATGTTATCTAATTACAAACTGGACAAAAATATAGTTGTATCTTCTGTCTCATATTTGGAATTGGGTGAAAAAGTTTTAATAAGATTTAATTGACTTAAAAGTAAGTCACCAGATGTTTTAGTTTAAAACAATTTTAGATTGCTATCATTTATTATGAGACCTAGATTGGTGTAGTGGTTAAAACACTAGGCTAGAAACTAGGAGACTGTGAGTTTTAATCCCACTTTAGGCATAAAGTCAGCTAGGTGACCTTGGATGAGCTTACCCATTCACTCTCTCTCAGCCCTAAGAAGTAGCCAGTGGCAAACTACTTTGAAATCTTGCCAAGAAAACTACAGGGACTTGTCCAGGAAATCATCAGAAGTCAAGACTGACTCTAAGGCAGGAAAAAAAAGAAATGTTTGCTTTAGATCAATTAGACCATAGCTCTCATAGTGAGAAAATGCTGACTTTTTTAACATATCCAGAGTGTAAGGTATAAAATTCTAGCTGTTGAATGGAAACTCCCAAAAGATATTACTTCATGATTGATTTCACAGATATATGAGTATATTTTTAGTTTTAATTTCCCTGTACTTTGCTATGTATCATTCATTTTGAATCTTCCACTTTTGAAATCTTTCTCTTTGGGCTACCCGCAAATCATAATGAACATCTACCAATCTGTTGATCTTCTGCATCTAAACTGTACATTGTATGGTAATTACATGTTTGTGTTAACTCATTGTTAATACAATTAACAGATCCTTTTGTCTCTGTGTTATCTAACTATTGGGTGTTACAGTTGGTTTTTGCACTTTTTTGTTTTATTTTTGTAGTGCCTTCAAAACAATCTTGACTCCTGGCAACTGCCTAGACTAATCTGCAGTTTTCTTGGCAAGATTTTGGAACTGGTTTGCCATTTCCTTCTTCCTAGGGCTGAGACAAGTTGACCGCTTTAGATTGGCTTTGGTGCCTACAGTGGGACTAAAACTCATGGTCTCCCAGTTTCTAGCTCAGTGACTAAAAAAATATTTCTATCTTGAAATGCTAAATTAAGACTTATAATAGTTTAAAAGATGCTTTTTTCAGTAAAAATTTCTGAAACAAAATTGTTATTTAGCAGGGTTCAATATATACTTAAAAAAGGTAAAGGTTCCCCTCGCACATATGTACTAGTTGTTCCCGACTCTAGGGGGTGGTGCTCATCTCTATTTTTACCATTCCTTTAATTTTTCAGGTCAATTTTCTGAATGATTAAAACTAAGCTTTTTCAGACTGTCTATCTATAATGTTTCATGAAAGTGAAGCCAAATCAAATAAAAAACCATAACAAAGAAACTATAAAAAAACCCTAAGAAATGAAATAAAGACTATACTTAAGCATATGTATAAACAAAACTTAATCTTCCCAATTATTGCAAGTGAATGTACATTGTAAATTGTAAACTGAACTGGAAATGTAAAATATTATTTATGACATTGCTTATTTTACAATTTAATGTGGTATTTTCCATTAGACATTTCTAACTAAGAAACATTGACTGAAGCTATTTAGTTAATATAGAAAATTTCAAATAAAACAAAATTTATTGCCTCCCTATATGCTAAATATCCCCCCTCCCAAATTGTTCTGAGTCCAACACTTTAGCACCTCTATTCTGGGGGAAGAAGAAAGACTTCCAAATCAAATGAAGCACAAAAATTGGAAGTAAAAACCATACACACATATATGTATCTTTGCAATTGTTCAACCTCCATGAAATATTCCATTTATTAAAGTTAGGGAAAAACTTCAAAAGGCATACTTTACAAATAGTTAAAGTCGCTTTGTTCTTTGCAAGGCTGACATGCTTGGGAAGTTATTCTCAGTTATCTTTGCATGTGAGTGCCTATACAACCAATGCCTGTCCATGCACATATATACAGAGACAATCAGAAGCCTTGCAAACAGCACAGCTGTTTTAACATTTTAAAGCAGTGCTTTATCTGTGCTCATTTGCATTGCAAATCACTGCTTTCAAAGGCTCTGCACAAGGACATTTGTTTTTTATGAAGAGAAATGTTACATTAAGGTATGAGGGGGAAAAAAGAATAAAATCCCAGTGACTGGTGACTTCAATGTTACAAAGCTCATTTATTGAAAACAAAGCTGTCAAGAATATAGTATGTTTTTCATAATTCTTTTTTAATTTAAATTACAGGCAGAAGAAATTACAGTGAACAGAAAATAAAGGCAGATACAAATCTAAATAAATGAATATGTGCTTTAAAGCCTGATTCCCAAACTGAAATGGGTTAGTCCAGAGAGATTTGGTTTTCAGTTCAGGTGAAAGAGAACTTGAAGAAAAAGCCTTAGTTCCAGCATGGATTCTGAGAGATATATAAAAATCTCAAAGTTCTTTTTTTACATGTTTTGGCTCAGCCATGCCCAGTACTCCAGTTACCAGCCATTACTATAAACAACCTGTGACTTAGTGTTAAATTTCAGTTAGAGTAACTCCTTCAAATCAAAAATTCAATCATGGGAAATTACTCATAGCATACTCATTATATTCAATAGAAACATAGTATTTCTCACAGCAACTTCCCACTCACTGAAGTGAAATAGCAGATGGCAAATAATATATCAAAGTTATTAGTGCATCAGTACTATAATAAATTAGTGACTTATGATGTTGAAGGTTTTACTTTTCATTTAATTCTCATAATATTACCAGCTTAGTTGCTTACTGGAATATAGTAGGCGTAGTATACTTTGCCTTCAATGATAAAGTTTCTCCTGAATATTTAATAGAGAATAGATAAACATGGTTTATTCTATTATGAGATGACTGCGGGAATATCTGAGTATACATTAAAGGCTCTGCATCAATCTGGACTATTAAATGATGACACCCTGGATTCCTTTCTTGGCCTTATGGTCATCAATGTATTATAATTACTTTGTTAAAAATAGTGGTTAAAAATAGCTTTTTAAACTCTTGCTTTATTTCACACATTTCTTTCCCTCTGCACTTGCTCAACTTACTTTTAAATTTGTCCTGCAAAATAGAACTCTTTCTTACATGTCATTAAGTGGGGAAAAGCAAACTATTATACACAGACATTTTTATTTCTTTCAATAAGCATTCTTTACAAACACTAAGGTTCATAAACTTTGATATTTCAAGATGCTTCTCCAAACAAATGCCTTTGCATTAGTTAGTAGAATTCCTACTTGGGAAATTAATTACCCCATGATATCCTTAATGATCAAATTTTGTTTCATATGATGCTTTCGCATTTGAAACTTACATCACAGAATGGGTCAACTCACACCAGAAATGTACAAGCATTTTACATATTTTAGATATTGCACAGAATTGTGAAAGATAGGATAAAACTTCCCCTTGCAAACTTAAGGAATGGAAGGGTCTCTATAAATAATGAGATTAAGTTGTTCAGGCTGCAGCATTACTTTACTAAGTTAGATAAACATCATGATGTGTGTACAGATTACAGGCAAATTACCTTCTCGGTGTGTGGTTTTTACAAGACCATTAATAGTAACTCAAGATACATGCAATGAAAATAATATGTGCCCATACAAGACTTGTAGTGTAGTTGTAAGATAATAAATTCACTTTATGTACTGTACTTGACATTGGAAAAGTATATATCTTTTTCCAGAAGCAGCAAATTGGACAAGCAACATTCTAATGCTATATGTTCCAAATCTTTAAAGGAAACATTTTAAACCCCAACTTAGGTGTAGACTAGGTATTAATCATGTATAAAATGTTATTTTTTCTTTAATTTTTCAGTGTTGATTTATAGTAACTAAGGATTGGCCAATAGTTTATTATTTGCTTCTTATACAGCATGGAATAAATGTTTTCAGGATGCATGAGCTAACAAAGAAGTTGTTAAATAAGTATTAACTTTGTACCTAATTTTATTTTCTCTCTAATCTTTTGTAATTGTTTTAGAATGGAATGGAATGGAATGGAATAGAATAGAATAGAATAGAATAGAATAGAATAGAATAGAATAGAATAGAATAACAGTTGGGAGGGACCTTGGAGGTCTTCTAGCCCAACCCCAAATGAAAAGAAAACTGTTTGGTACTATTTTATTAGATTAAAGCAAGGATTCCCCCAACCCCTGGGTCCATTCGGAACCAGGTCACACAAGTGATGGGCAAGCACACTTGTGCATGTACCCACTGTTTGCACAAATGGAGCAGTGCACAAGCACACAGGCCTGCCACTCTCACAGAACCATCCCCTCTACCATTCCAACAAAATAGATACCTATGCAACTTTATATATATATAAAAAATGCTTAACCACTCAATCAACTGCAGCACAACCAACATGACATATGGAATAGATAATATTACCATGCATCAAAAACTTCTTGTAAATAACAGATGATTACAACCATACAACATCACCCCCGCAACAGTCCATCAAACCAGAAAGATTGGAGACTACTGGTCTAAAGATTAAGACTGGTAGAAGTAAAAGGAAGGAATATAAAGGTGGTTTATTTTATTAAGGTTAAAATGAAAGATTAATAGAAGTAAATAAAAGAGTGAAACATTGGTTTAGTAGATCAAAGTTAAAATAAAAATTTCTATTATTTCTGGTTATTTTAAAGGACTTTTGCTGACAGCAGGACTAAAACAATGATGTGTTTTGAATGGGTTTGTTGATAAGATATGGGATATGGGAAGAAGATATTGTAATTTAAGAGGTGATGAAAAGTTACTAAAATTGTATCTGTAATGAGGGTTGGAAGTCACCTTTTATATGTTTCTTTTCTTTTTCTTACATTTTTCTTTTTTTTAATTATTTGGCTTGTTTTTTCTTTTTTCCCTTTGCACTTTTTACTTTCTTTTTTCTATCTTTTTTTTTTAGTTTATATTGTTTTTACTGTAATAAATATAATCTAATAAAATTACTTGAAAAAAATAAAAAGAAATTTCAGGCATTCAATAATACATGTATGGTTGTATTCATTTTCTCCAGAAATACTAAATAGAAAAAGAAACTCATGGCAAGAAAGAACCAACTTTTATTTGTAAAAAGTTTTATAGTAGTTCTAATGATACCAAAAGGGGATTTGACTGCTCTCTTGTTAATAATTTACTACCTTCTTATTATTATTTTTATAGTTAATCATTACCATTAATGGTAATGGGTAGTACTGGCACAAAGATGTTTACTTAAATAAGCATCAATGATTTTGATCAGATATGAAGAAAATATGTATTATTCATGTTTTAAGAATTAATAAAAAGATGCTTCTTTTCAGTTGCTTACATCCTGCATAAATTGACTGTGAGGTAGTATCTTATCAGGTACAAAAACCAATCATATGGAGACTTTGCAGCTAATAGTTAGAACAGCTGACATAAATATTTAGGAAAGAGTGCACAATTATTTTTACTATTTACTATTTACATAATATTATTAACACTATAATTACTATACACTTTTTATATAGAACCTTCTAAAATGGCCAAAAAGGAATTAAAGTTTCTAACGCAAAAGCTTCATTAAAATTTGATAAGTAAGAACAATATCTAGTTTATTCTTAAAAATAAAAATAAAGTTTTGCAACTTTAGTCTAAGGGAAGACAAAAATCATTTTACTTGGACTTGCTCTAAGACAGTGATGGTTAACCTTTTTGGTGCCGAGTGCCCAAAGCATGCGCACACACGCATGAATGCACGTGCACGTGCCACAATCCCCAAAATGCAATGTCAGTGCCCCCCACATGCATGCGCCCTGCACATGTATGCATGTTCCCTGTGCATGCACCCTGGGCCCCCGTTTTGGCTTCCAGGTTGGTGCAGGAGGCTTTTCAGGCCCAAAATGGGATGCAGCGGGGGGAGGCAGCTAGGACTCAATGGGGGTAGAAACTGCAAATATCGGAGAAGGCACAGAAGGCAGGAGGCAGCTAGGACTTGATGGGGGAAAAACTGTGGAGATTGCGTCCTAGCTTTCTCTTGCATTCCTGTCTTCCGTGCTTCTCTGATCTTTGCAGTTTCTCCCCCCCATCGAATCCTAGCTGCCTCCTGCCTTCCATGATCTCCAGTTTCTCCCCCCATTGAGTCCTAGATGTCTCTTGCCTTCCAGGATCTCCAAAGTTTTTTCCCCCACCAAGTCCTAGCTGCCTCCTGCCTTCCATGATCTCCAAAGTTTCTACCCACATCGAGTCCTAGCTGCCTCCTGCCTTCGTGCTTTCTCTGATCTTTGCAGTTTCTACCCCCATCGCATCCTAGCTTTCTCCTGCATTCCTGCCACAGAGAGGCACCTGTGGAGGGTGTAACCTGTGGAGATTGGGGAAGGCCTTACCCCCGTGCATTTGTGGCAGAGACCCGAAGACCAGCTGGCTGATGGGAGGTGTGCGGTGAAGCTGGGCTGGGACGACAGCTGGCATGCCCACAGAAAGGGCTCTGTGTGCCACCTGTGGCATGCGTGCCATAGGTTTGCCATCTTGGCTCTAAGACACAGCTACAGTAAAAACTGCCTTTTCACCCACTTAGATTGAATTTGGAAATTCCACCACAATTTGGTACAATGGGGAATAAATTTCCTTGGCATAGCCTTTCTTCCAAGAGTTCTGTAATAACAGATAATTATGAAAGACTGTCACCACTCAAGCTGAGCCTCCTGATACCTTCCTACTTTGCCCGGATGACTCATACTCCTAAATTCTCTCTTTTGTCTACTCCTAGAAAAACAAAACAAAATAAAAAAGCTATTTTGGCTCTTCCTATCCCAAGACATAAATTAGCAGAATTTAACAAACTTTGTTAAGTTGTGCCAAAGAGTATTAGTAGTGCCCATGGGGAAAGCTTTAATTAGAAATTCACTAGTAAAACCGTGAAATCAAATCTGTAGGAAGGAATTCTTTGTCAATGGAAAATAAAAGAAGATAACACAATAAATAGGTTGACTAGCATGGCTAGTTACTTATTACCACTTGAGTATATATTCACTACAGAAAGAATGATTGGAGGTCATTTGGGGGCTTCTTGGATGTTCACATACAGCCTCCTTTTTAAAACTCCTTTTCTTCTTGCCTTCATTTCAATCATTTTCGAGCATTTATCCCACATTTTATGGAAAGTAAGGTCCAAATGAAGTCAGCATTTTTGAAGTCTGATGGTTGCTTTATACAAATTGTCTATTCATGATGTCCTGCGTATTTCTAGAGTGTAGCCAAGATACCAGAAATCAATTAGAGACATAGATGCTTATGACCTTTGCCAGAATTG